CACCCCGGTAGATCCGCCCCTGAAACCAAACAAAAAAAATCTCAGGATTCTGCAGGGCTAAACCCAAAAGAACACCGGTGATGGTTTCAGACCCCCAACGCCTCATGTCTACAAACTACAAGTCCAAAAGAACCTCGTTCTGTTTCTACAAGAACCTTAAAGATCTCAGACGTGTTGGAGATGCTAATGCTAATGCTTCTGTTTTTACCCCTCAGTCTGCCATGTTGAAAAGTTTGAATATTCGGCCTAGCAGGCTAACCCGTTAGCTAGCAGGCCAACAGGCTGTCCAGCTGTAATCAAGGTCAGCTCGTGTAGTTCACTGACTGCAGAACGTGTCCATTTCTGCTTTAACAACATATTTCACAAACTGGCTCCGCCCACTTATTACCCATCATGCATCACTGTTTTTGGTCAGTGAAGCTCCATTTTGTGTAAAACTGATCAAACTGTCACCATCAATCTGTAGAGACATGCATCCCCCAGCGCTGGCCCCCAGGGGGCGCCGTCTGAACAACATTAACAAACAGACGACAGAGTTTCTGTGATTTAATCAGAAAAACACGAAGCTGATAAATGATGACATGAAGACGTGTTTTATTGTCACAGCAGATAAAGTGAAACCCACAGACTCATTGGTTCACATGAACAACGAGAGGATCTGAAACAGCAGCAGGACGAAGCTCATCTTCATCCTCACCTTCCTCCTCCTCCTCCAGGTTTATGAGTCACAGCCTCCTGAAACAGTGAAACACTGATGGAGCTCTTTATATTCCCTCCAACCGACTCTCTCCGACACGCTTCTAAACCGCGACTTAATCACACACACACACACACACACACACACACACACTCCTGCAGGTCTATTGAAATGAGAGCGTAACCTTGAGCAGAGCACCGAGGTTGTAAACGAATGTAAATCCAACTGTAGTCCCAATAACAATCACACAGTGTGTGTGTGTGTGTGTGTGTGTGTGTGTGGTCACGTGTTGGTGCGTCATGTATGTGCAAACCAACATTAAACAAAGTGAACATGTGTGTTTTTAGTATTTAAATAAAGTGAGCTGCGTTCAGGTCAGAGCGCCACCTGCAGTTCGATCCAATGAGGTCGATCAGATCAATCAGTTTGAGCAGGTCGATCAGATTGATCAGAAGGACTGACTGTCCATCACAGTGATCCGTAACATCCCATCACAAGTTCACAGCAAAAACGTCGAGATGAGGTGAATGAATCCGACTCAGGAACACAATAAATCTACACAGAGAACACGAGATTAACCCTGGATCCAACAGGAGAAAAAAGACAGAACAAAATGACCTGAATCCAAGTTTGAGTTCAGGTTTGAATCCAGATCTGATTTCAGGTTAATCCAGATTTGAACCCAGGTTTTCCAGGTTAATCCAGATCTGATTTCAGGTTAATCCAGTCTTGAGCCCAGGTTAATCCAGGTTAATCCAGTTTTGTCTATTGTCTCTGCAGGAAATCATCCTGAAGCGAGCGGCCGACATCGCCGAGGCGCTGTACAGCGTTCCCAGAAACCACAACCAGATCCCGTCGCTAGGCAACACTGCCTCCCATGGCATGATGGGAGTCAACTCCTTCAGTGGACAGCTGGCCGTCAACGTCTCAGAAACAACGCAAGGTACTGTAGGAACACAACTACTACAGTACCAGAAGTACTGCAGTAACAGTAGTACTGAAGGAACAGTGGTATTGCAGCAAATGTCTGTAGTAATAGTACTACTGTAGCACTCCTGTAGCACTGCAATGTACTGAGGTAGTACTGAGGTCAAACCCCTGTAGCACTAGGAGGTATTGAAGTAGTACGACTATGATATTCCTATAGCACTACAAGGTACTGAGGTCGTTCTGAGGTAGTGCTGAGGTAGTACCCCTGCAGTACTAGGAGGTAGTACTACTATAATATTCCTATAGCACTACAAAGTACTGAGGTAGTACCACAGCAAGCAGTTGGTTACTGCAGTATTACAAATAGTACCTGCTCTCTCCCAGTTGGTTACAGCCGGAACACCAGCAGCGTGTCGCCACGGGGATACGTCCCAAGCTCCACCCCCCAACAGAGCAACTACGGCAACACCGTCAGCAACAGCATGAATGGATACGGCAACGCAGGCATGACCAACCTGGGAGTGGCAACGTCACCGGGTTTCCTCAACGGCTCCACCGCCAACTCGCCCTACGGCAGTAAGTATCAAGGTAAATACTCTCAGTACTACCACTACTGCTCCAAAACTATTACCAACTACTAAAACCATAAATTCTACTACCACCAACACTACCAGTACATCTAATACTACAAATAGTATCAATACTGTCATTACTCCCAATACAACAAGTGCTACTAGCAGTACTCCTAGCATTACCACCCCTCCCAGTACTGCAGTACTGGTTGAAGTGATCCTCCCAGTACTCCCAGTCTGAGACCAGTGTCTGTGTGTGTCCAGTTGTTCCTTCCAGTCCCACCATGGCCGTGTCCAACTGTAACTCCTCCCACGGCGTCTTCTCCTTCTCAGCCGCCGTCAAACAGAAGAGCGCCTTCGCTCCCGTCGTCCGGCCGCCGGCGTCTCCTCCTCCTCCGACCTGCTCCAACAACAGCAACGGACTNTGTGTGTTTGTTGTGAGTACTTTTGTGTGTCTTTGCTGTGGTTTGTTCATTTTTTGTCACGTTCAGTCAGTTGTAACGTCTTTCTAGTCATGTTGTGTGTATTTTATTTGTTTTTGCATCATTTTGCCTCCTGTTGTGTGTCTTTGTGGTGTCTTCTCTCACTTTGCATGTTTGTGTTCATTTTGTGATTCTTTGTCTTCTCTTTGTCAACAGTTTGCAGTCCCTTTGTGCGTCCTTTATTGATTCATTTGATTTGATCTGATCAGCTCAGACTAACCGCTGTTCTTGAGCAGAGAAAGTTTTCGGCCGATTTAATTTCTTCATGTGCTCAAACTCTGAACTCATGGGTCCTTTACTGAATTGTTTCTGAATGTTGGTTCTTGTTCAACTGGATCTGTCACATCTGTAGCAGCTGCTGGTCGTGGACGTTTGCAGGACACTTGAGTGAGTCACAGTCAGTAAAGGAGGCTGATAGAAAGCTCAGGAAAGCTTCACCTTCATCCATGTAGTCGACAAAGACAAGACAAAGTGTGTCTGTACCCGAGTAGAGCGAACCTGTCAAAACACCTAAACCAGTAAAGACGAGTCTAAACCCAGTAAAGCCAATCCTAAACCAGTAAAGATGAGTCAAATCATTAATAAGCCATTCATAAACCAGCATATAAACCATTAATAAACCAGTATATCATTTTTTCCAGCGGTACATTTTGCTGACTGTGTCCTGCGCTCGGCTGGGCGTCCGTCGATGAAGACGAGGAGAACGTTTTCCCATCAACCCCTTCTCACCTCCCAGCTGATGGGTATTGATCTGCATCTGTTGCCGCAGTAACCGGTGATGGACAGCTGGGGTCAGAGGTCAGAGTGCACGTTTCCAGTACAAAGGTTTCAGTGTTTGGCAGCTTCGCCCTGAACGCTGCAGGTCTGGCCGTATTATTGGTTATTGATCGGAGTATTTAATGTTTGTTCTGCTGTTCTGGAGCTACGAGTTGGTTTCACTGTAAAAAAATAAATCACTAAAAGAACTAAATGGTATGTATCCTGTGTTTATATAGAGTAATCAACATTAGCTGTAGTTTGTGCTAAGCTAGGCTGAGCGCTCCCTGCTGCCTCCAGGCCGTGTGATGTGTGTGATGTGTGTGAGGTGTGTGAGGTGTGTGAGCTGTGTGAGGTGTGTGATGTGTTTCCTCTGACTGCATGTGAGGACGCGTGACCTTCACGTCTGGATGCGAGCACCAGTTAGAAGTTTATGAATCAGGGACATTTATTCAAAGGCAGCCATGTAAAACAAACTGTAGCTTTTTAAGACAGGTTTAGAGAACCAAATATAACATATTTAAATAGATATTATTCAGATAAAACATTGACCAGCTTTCAGGGCGTGAGCAGAGCTTTGTGTGAACTTGTGCAGCAGCCTGCTGTGGACACTGATTTTAAATGTTGGCTCCATAAAAGCTCCACATTTGATGTTTATTTTTAAACCAAAAACAGTTTCTAATGACAAAGTGTGGCTGTGTTTTGACCTACATGATGTGTTTTATGTGCTGCTGTCACATGAACGGAGCAGATTCTGTTCCTGACCACCAGGGGCGCCACAGAACATTTCAGAGGAAATCCTGTCTGCGCAGGAAGACGTTGGTGAAGGAGGAGCAGGGTGACGGTGGAGGTTCAGCTCGGTCCAGCCAGACGCTCAGATAAACTCCACACATCGATCAGCCAATCGCTTCACTGAGTCTGGTGTCGCCGTGACGACCAGTGGCTGCAAACACAGGAGGGGAGGGGTCCCCGGAGGGCGGCCATGTTTGTTGATTAAACTGAAACAAGACAAACAAAGAGACAAAACAAACTAATTACCTGCAAACAAAGCTGACGGCTAACAAGGCTTAACGAGGTCGCACACTGTGTACACACACACAACTACACACACACACACACACACACACNGTGTGTGTGTGTGTGAGTGTGTGTGTGTTACTGTGTGTGTGTGTGTGTGTGTGTGTGTGTGTGTGTGTCTGCTGGGCTCCAGCAGGACTGTGGTGTGCTTGCGGCTGCCTCCAGGTTGAACCGTGTCCACTCTGAGACAGGCAGCAGCTCCGTGCGAGCCTCCATCACGCTGCTGTCTCTGACCTACATTCACTGTGAACAGGCTTCAGTTAAAGCTGCTGGTGAGCAGAGAAACAGGTCTGAGGCTAAAAGAGGATCATCCTCTGAGAGCAGGTCCTGCTGTCAGCCTGGAGCTCTGAGGAGACCTGCAGCAGGACCAGCAGCACCTGAACAGGCTGGAAGGTCCACAAGAGCACCAGACAAGTCCCACGAAGACAGGAACGCATCATATTAATATTAACAATAATAATAATAACTGATCAGATTGATACGGCTTGTCTCGACTCCCAGAGACACTGAACACTGTCACTTATTCATCCGGTGCTGGTAGCTCCGGTTGCAGCCTCAGCTAACCCTAACCCGAAAACTTTATCATCACAGGTCTCCGGTCCAGATGGAGGGTTAGGGTTAGCTTCAGGGTTAGCCTAAAGGTTAGCTTCACAGTTCAGGGTTAGCTTTAGGGTTAGCTTTAGCACTAGGGTTAGATTCAGGGTTATCATTAGCTTTAGCAGAGAGGACGGTGGGAGGACCTGGTGATTCTGGACCAGCTCATAACTTCTGATTACTCACAGTTTTGTCGGAGGAAGTTTGTTTGGTGCCATGACTTTATTTCTGTGATGCAGCTGGTGAGTGTTGCGTGGCCGGCAGCAATTGATTGATCGATCGAATGATTGGTGGAGATATAGAGGTGGATGTCATCAGCTTACAGACAAAGAGTCTGATCCATCCTCACTGGATGTAACACACCTGAGTCCTGCCTGGAGCTCAGAGGAGACAGAAGTCCTAACACACAGGAAACCCTTCAGCCAGCTGGTAAATTACATAAAATAACAATTAAAGAAACACATGTACAGAAATCAGCTTTTCAATGTTACTCAGCTTCCAACCAGCAAAGATATGTGAAGAAACCCTCGGACGTAGAACCTTCTTGTGCTTGTGACAGGACGTACATCAGACACCGGATGGTGCTGCTGGTGTCCGTCAGGTGTCTGTTCTCCATCAGCAGTTGTTTTGTGATGTGAAACTTTGTTTGTTCCCAAATCAACGTCTGACCAGCTTCTTTCCTGTGTCTCTGCAGCCATGTCCGGCCTCGTCGTCCCTCCTATGTAGAAAACCTCACCCCTCCCTCCTCACCTGTCTCCTCCCCCTCAGCCACGAGCACCAATCACCTCAAAGAGGAGGGGCCTGGGCCCTCAGGAGGCGGGGCTTCAGGCAGCAGCTGACCAGTCAGGACAGAGTATTGATGACGTCCGTCTGACTGGGCGGAGCCTCTGCTCTCTAAAGAAAATGAACGAAGGACTCTTTGAACAGCAGTTTGCTGCTGTCAGCTCTGTAATGATGCTCTGGTGTATTCTGTGTGGGGGCGGGGTCTGCTGATGTAAACACTCTGATGTCACACCTGCCATGTGACTTCACTCGCTCTGCTTGTGATGTCATCTGAAAGTCGGTAAAGGCCCCAAATTATCGAGACTTTCAAGTTCATGCTCATTTGTTCATGCTGACATCAGACATGTTTGTTCACATCTGAGGAGGAACAGGTAACGTCTGCATGCAGCGATCGGTTCCTCAGAGAACACCACACAAGAACAACTTTAGGTCGACAAAGAACCTTTTACAAAGAGGTTCTTTGAGAAACCATTTTTAAACACTCTTTAAAAGAACCCTAAAGGTGCCTCAAAGAACCTTCAAAAATGGTTCCTTTGGGCACCATGAATGGTGCTCGAATGACGCGAAAACACGTTCCTTCATAAACCATTTTCCAGATAGTTCTTTGTAGAACCACTTGGTTCAATGTCTCCCTCCAGTCAGAAAGTGAAAAGTGCTAATCTGAACCAGTGATACCACAGAGGAACCATTCTCAACTCAACAACGGCCCTTTTAGCCAAAGGTTCTCTAAATGTTCCTTCTAACAGTTCAAAGGTGCCTCAAAGAACCATCAAAAAATGGTTCCTTTGGGTACCATGAATGGTGCTCCAAAGAACTGTTGAAAAGTAAGTTCTTTAAAGAACCATACTTTAAATACCTTTTCTGGAACACTGTGTTAAAGTAGGACAGGTGTGAAGCTGGTCCTGATTGGCTCCTCCCACTGAGAACCCCTCAGAACCATCAGTTCCTGACAGGATTGAAAAGGTTCTGGTAAATGCAGGCCTTCAACGGTTCTAGTCAGCACCATGACCTCTGAGAGCAGACTGAGAAGAAGCAAAGAACAGCAAATGAAACTGATCTTTTTACAAGCCCCGCCCCCTTCATTTAGCCCCGCCCCTGTCTGTCTGTCCATTTTTTAAAATGCTTGCACTGTAAAAACGAATCCTGCATCCTGATACGCTACTGTGACTGTCCGTCTTCTTGTTGTGTTTTTACCCTGGCCCCGCCCCTCGCCTCGCCCCCAGCACTCTCACTCCGCCCCCAGCGCTCTTGCCCCGCCCCCTGTGTTTTCTCTGTGGGTTTTGTGGTTTTTTGCCAAAGTTGTAGCTGGCTGAATATTTATACGTCACTGTGGTTGATCACGTCGCCGAGGGAACCTCCTTTTGTACCATACGGACTATAAATAGTGTATTTATATCTGCGATGGTTTTGTATAAATGGATGTCGAGTCATGTGTGTGTCTGTGGTGGTGCCACAAATCAACCATCGTTTTGTATTTAAAAAAAGAACTGAACGTCTTCACACATTTATAGCGCTGTCAATCAAAGCTGACGTCCAATCAGCTCCACTCGTTTGGTTTCTGTTGTTTTGAATGTAAATCTGTTTGGTTGTACTGAATAAAGTCAGCAGGTCGCTCTGACCGACTCCTTCTTTAAAAACACACAACACATTAAAACGCTACACAAACTGAATGATGTCAACAAAAATACATGTTTGGTTCCTTAAATAAAATGATGTTCAACCATCTGAGTCAAGAGAATAAACGATTCCTCTGAAATCAATTATAGTTCATTATTTGTAAAATCAAGTTGTTCCAACTCGTTTTTTGATGGTATTTAAGTGGATTTTTAAAAAATTGTTATGTACTTAATTACCTTCATTTAAAATATCACGTTGTTCCAATGATGAGTCAACACACTGAGATCCTGAAGAGAAGGAAAATGAAGACAAAGCTGGGTTTAAGTCAGACACAATGTTCAACCATCAACATGTGTAACTTCTAAAAGCTCCTAATGGCCTGTTAGGAGGACGTGAGTTATTCAGTGTGAGGATCTGCAGGTTCTCACTTTATCCGCTGAACAGAAATGGTGAGAACATTTCATTAGCAAGTTTAAAAACTGAAATTAGCTGCTAGAAGCAAAATGTCCTTCATGTCACCAGGACTGAAGGAACCACTTTACTGGGTCAGGAACGTTTCCTTTCCTTCAGAATCTGCAGCTCTGCCCAGAGAGGTTCTAAAGCACAGAACATGTGCTTCATTAGTTACTGAGAGTTGGACTGAAACATCATCTGGACAGAAGGAACAAGAACCCAAACAGACCAGAACCTCCAGGACAGAACCTACAATGACTCTGAAACAACGTTCCAGCACAATTAACCTGAGTTCTTAGGTTGGTTCTGAAGAGAACATATTTTCAGCGTTTGTGTGTAACTTATCACAAACATGTTTCTAACAGACGGATCTTTCTTTACTGCTTCACTGTCGCTGCTCTTCAGTCAACCAATCAGGAATCAGAGGAGCGGGACTTGTCACCACGGTAACCCAGAACACGGAGGAGGACCTTTAAACATGAACGGGTCCAATTTGAACCAGAACCAGATGTTTTATAAGAAATTGGAGCACACTCTTCAGCGAAGTGACTTCACTAAACAGAAAACTGAGCATGAGCAAACACAGAAAATTAAACTTTGAATCTTTTCGTGGTGATTCGTCAGCATCGTCCATCGTCTTCCAGCAGCAGGTCAGCAGGTCCGTCCAGATGTTCTCAGGATCCTGAGATGATCTCGGGCCAGATGAGCTTCAGCTCAGTCGGTATCAGTCCACACAGCAGTGATCCTCTAACGTCTCACATTCTGTTCACAGCTCACTGATTTGTTATTTCAGACCCTAAACTAAGTTCTGTTGAATATTTTGACTACATTTAGAGAATTTCACATTTTCAAACGTAGAAACTTGATTTAAAAAACCAAACAAACAAACCCTGTGAAGCCATGTAATGGTCCAGAATCTCGAGAAATAAAACATCCATGAAATGAGGAGACTTGGACAGAACAGTTCCATCAGAACGACTGAATGGATCCAACAGGACACAATTTTAATTACTGGACCTTAAAAATGGAGTGCAGAATTTCTAAATGAGGCTGGTGCTGGTCCATAAAGTTCCTGTCAGTGTCTGTCTATAGATGGATCCATGGTTCTACTAAAATCCAGTCTTTGGTCACATTTCACCACCTGTTGAGGCTCTAACATCAGTAGAACCTGATGTGGTGAATTTGGACCAGACAGGGTTCCAGGTTTTAGATATTTAGACTAAATGTTGAGGTGGATCATTGGTAGGAACCAGAACCTGGAGTTCACAGGCTCAAGGTGTTGGTTCTAGGTGTTGGTTCTAGGTGTTGGTTCTAGATATTGGGTCTAGGTGTTGGTTCTAGGTGTTGGTTCTAGGTGTTGGTTCTAGATGTCGGTTCTAGATATTGGGTCTAGGTGTTGGTTCTAGGTGTTGGTTCTAGGCGTTGGTTCTAGGCGTTGGTTCTAGATGTNTTGGCTGCTAATCCTGGTTAAATTAATGAGAAGAAAGTTAATTTGTGGTTTTGACCCTTTTCAGCTCAGAAAACGGATTACACACAACAACACAACAGCCACGTGTACACACACACACACACACACACACACACACACAACAACACAACAGCCACGTGTACACACACACACACACAATCTGTATGTGTGTGTGTGTGTGTGTGTGTGTGTGTGTGTGTGTGCAGATGATGATAAATGAAGGAATGAGAGACGACGGTTTGCTCAGTTTGTCTTTTCAAACCTCTCATGAACAGAACAACACACATCAGTGAGCTGATATCAGGTCTGTTATTAAATCAACTCTCATTATTTCTGACCCTCTGAGCTTCTGTAGTCTCCCCTGGACTGGTGGTACTGGTGGTACTGGTGGTACTGGTGGTACTGGTGGTACTGGTGTGTGTGTGTGTGTGTGTGCATGATTTCCATTAAACACACAGACTGTAATTGAGTGTGTGAGGAGCGTTTGATTCGTAGCGTGGAGTCAACGAGGAGGGAGGAGTCAGCTGATCACAGTTTTCTGCTCGTCTTCATCCGTCCTGTGGCGTTCCGTGCCATCGTCTGATTGGACAGTTCATGCTGCGAGTCGCTGGCTCCTCATTCGTCCTCACTTGTCACATGCTGGCTGATCTGAGCAAGAGTCTGATCCAGAACCGGTCTGCGTCCAGCAGAACCCAACCATCTTTACGGTTTGGTTCCTCATAGCTTTGCTTCACGTCCACAAACCCACGTCACAGAGAGACGGGAGGGTAAAGAAGCCGACCCGAGGTTTTCAGTTGCAGCATCATTACCCCTGAAACAGAACCGATAATTCATGGAGAGAACCAGGTGAGGAGGTTCTCCTGCCACACGTGGATCTAGTTTAATGGAACAGACTGGAGCCTGTGTGAAGCTCTCTGAAGCTCACAGCTAAACATCTTCACCATCTGCTGATCAGCCTCTCCAGCCCGTCAGCACACAGCAAGCAAAGTCCAAACCAGAACAACAGAAGGAGTTCTACAGACACATCGGAGATCACGGAGGTTCTCAGAGGAATGAATGCAGTTCTGTTGGTCCACAAACGTATCCAAACGTTTTCAGATCTGAGTGGAAAGAGACAACAAGTGTGCACACAATCACGCCTCTGTGCAGATCCAGGACATTCTGACGGGAAGGTAGGTCAACAAAACCAAAACATTACATTAAACTGTGGCTTCAACCCAGAAGATCATCATGAAGACCATCATGAAGACCATCATGAGGATCATCATGAAGACCATCATGANACCTCACACGATCAACACTGAGCTGAATGTGGTTTCAGTGAGTCTCTGTATGTGAATCATGTGCGTCTCTTATCCTTTTTTTTTTTCATATCTTCTTCCTTCCACTCAGCTAAAACCTGATT